CAGAAGCAAATTAATTAGAGCAGAATGAGTGTGGAAGTGTTAGACAGTTCTACAATCTTGGCCTTCATTGAAGATGAAGAAGCATTCCATGACTCTATAAGAGATCATTTTGCTCTCCTTGACACTGACAACGATGGAATTCTGTCTTACGCAGAGATGTTGAAGGAGTTGCAGAGTTTGAGGGTCTTTGAAACCCACTTTGGCATAGATGTTAAGACAGACCCAGACGAAGTTACTCATGTCTATGATTCTTTGTTTGGGCAGTTCGATCGTAACTCCAACGGGACGGTGGATTTGGAGGAGTTCAAGACGGAGACAAAGCAAATGATGCAGGCCATGGCCAATGGAATGGGATTCTTACCTGTCCAAATGGTGCTCGAAGAAGGCAGCTTCCTCAAGAAAGCAGTGGAGTGGGAGTCCACCAAAGCTTGAATTGTTTATTTCTTCCTTCACATGTTGTTTCAAAACAATTTATAAGTCTGAATTAGTTCCAATGAAAAGTTTAAATGAATTAAATGTACCCTTTTTATAGAAACAAAAAAGTATTTAAGTTCTTATTAATTGTTCTGTTTTGGCAAATTAAAGATGGCAGGATTGATTATATATTCCTAAGTATGCCTAATCGTGTATTATTTATTTTGTATGGTCTGATAACCATTTCATCTAAGGATAATGATACGTTTAATTTCTTTATGACACTTTGTCATCATTTTATTCTCTTATTTGGAATCTTGTACAATTACTAGTGGATTAATAAATATGTAGGCAAATTCAATTTGAAAATAAATCAGTCAAATAAGAAAAAAAATATTAAACAAAGATAAACAACAATGTTGTCTTCAAAGTGAGTAGCATATTATTTTATTCTCTACAATTAAAAATTTACTTCTTAATTTTTATATTTTTAATGTTATAACGAAATTCAATTTGATCTGTCTCCTTGAATAAAATAATAAATTTAGATTTTATGTCTAACAAAATATTATGAAAAAAAACATCAAATACAAAAACATAGTGGCTTTTATCGATATTTCATAAAAATGTAACACCTAAACAAAAAGTACTCTTACACCAAATTTATAATGGAGTAAAAAGAAAAACTATTTTTGTTGGCCATTTTTCGAATAAAGAAACTTTGAGTAATCAAGAAATATATAATATTCTCCTCATTTCATAAGTCTCATATTTTCTTTTAAATTTAAATATGAGAAATTCAAATTAAAAATTTTAAATTCTAAACTATGGAAATTTCTCTTCAAAAAAAAAACTTATTTGAAATTTGCCATTTCAATTTAAATATTTTATTTATCTTTTAAACATGCACCCCACACCCTAATGCAAGCTGAAATTTATTTGTTCAAAAAAGAATAAAAATTACCATCAAATTATAGCACCTAGAGCATTGCAAAAGCAATGCCACATTATTGGTGAAAAAAAGAAAAGCCTTGAATGGAAGGAATCTAACATTTTTGTGGTGGTGCAACAAATGAAGAAGTCGCAAGTGGCTTCTTTAATGGGAACGGAGGGACAAACAGAAACAAAAGGACGGTAGTACTACTGCTAGTTGTAGACTGAGTGGGTGCGTCCTACTGGAGGAGAGAGTAATCAATCAATCTATGGGTCCATGCTTCTCATTGTTTTTGAAGAGCTGTCTAGCTAGTCAAGGGATGGTGACTTTGACTACCTGTAGCAATGCTTGGAATTTTTAAAGTAATGAATTGATGGAAAAGTTGTACCGCTCGAAACTTATAATACAAGTAAAGTTGAAAGGTGTCCAACTTTGGCTTGAAATTCGAGGTTAACGTTTCACCGTAGAAGCATCAAGAATGTTCTCTTCTTTTCTCTTGGCTTGTGAGTTGCGACTTACAACACGTTGTGAGCCCATTGGATAATTTGCTTTTACAAACCGAAAGGCAACACCAAATCTTCGAACAAAACCCATGTTCACACACAATAAGGAAAAAGAAAATTCCTATATGCTTGGGGACTTTCTTTTCTTTTCTATTAGATTAGATTAGATTAGATTAGATTAAACAATGCCGGTGAAGAGGGTGCAATCAAAAAATTCAACCTCCGATTGCGTTGATCGTTTAAAAGAGAACCGAAACCGTGGCAAGAAAATTCAACTGGCTAGAAACTAGAAACTATTTGGCATAGCCAGCGGCACGCATATTTGGACTAAA